TTATAAAATGAAAAAGAGTGTAATCCCAGCCAAGATTTATAATAATAGAATTCTTCATCTCTTATCTTTTTAAGGATTCTAAATTGATTAAAATTCTCAATTTTGATGATGTAGACCTCTTGAAATCGAGTCACACTTGATATGATAAAGATTCTTGAATTTTGAAGAGATTTACTTGAAACTGAAAACCATTTATGAGGAGAGTTATGTTCAATTATGGAAGGATGAATAATCAAGCATTCAAAATCTTTAAAACTCTTATTATTTATGTGATTAAAGTTCTTTAGAAGAGATTAGCATCTAGTTACGACTCTCTCAAAAAGAGTAGAGGACTCCCTCATGAGAAATACCTAAGAGTCCATGATTGGGAGAACTTTTTTGGCTAATGCTTGTGATCATCTCGGTCATGAGATCTTGGTATGAGTTGTCCCTTCTTTGCTAGTACCAAATGATACAGAACCCAAGATCAACCAGAGTGATCAAAAGCTTCAACATAAAATTTAGCTTAAAAGCTTAATCACTAAAGAAACTATCCCTATTTAACTCACATTTGAATACAAACTAAGGTGATTGAGAAACTAGAAATAGAATTGAAAAGACACTATGAGATTATCTCGATAACTAGATTCAATTCCTAACTCAACGAGACAGTTGAAGAACCTCCTCAAAGAGCACTCGCAATAGCTAAAGCTAAAGAAAAAATAATTTAAATTTTATTGATTTGAAAATTGATGATTACAAACTAAGGAGTAAGGCCTTTATACATGCATAAGCCTTACTAGTTTTACTTGAATTCCAAAAGCTAAATCCTAGAATAATTCTAATTACAACTTAATATAGGAAACTATTAAACTATGAAATTAAAAGACATAAACATAATAGAACTAAAAATCTTCTCTCTTAAAGTGGACTTTATGTTGTGCCTGAATGCTTCTCCCGTTTCCTTCTTGCATTTGAACTTTAATTTTTGATTAATTTATGTTGAAGAAATTGAGTTGAAGATGCTTGAAAAGGCTTCCCAATTGGAGTAAAAATGCAACATATACATAAGAAAATTAAGAATGATAATTCGGTTAGAGTAAGATTCTTCCTCTTTATGATTCCAG